GTGTCCTTGAGTAGTTTGTAGTAAACTTCTGCCGAGAGGTCTGCTAAATGAGTTGATGGCAGTGAAACACAGAAACATTCACCGAGCAATGAGCAGAGTTCACATTTTATTGAAAGGTGTAATAATGCAACAACGCAAATACATGAAGTGAACAGATTAATATACAAAACCTGATAATCCAGTGGGAAATCCCACAGCTCCAGATTTTCTCTAAAATTGCCTTTTATTCTGTATGTCTCCATAGCAAATGGTATTTCATTTCCTGGCTCATAAAATAAATAATGATTCTTCTCCATCTTTTCAATTTCCAGGGCATTGAAAAACACAATCCTAGGGTGCCATTCATTATGCCATTTTATATCCTGTAAAAAAACCCGATAAATTCAAAAACTGAAGCTGCCAATGTTTCCATTCACAACCCTTACATCTGTGTAGCAACCTTTTGTTTTGCATGTTATACTTTCATTTTTACACTATTTAGGGTATAATTTCAGAGATACATTTTATAGGTACATATGTAAAGTAACGAAAATATATAGCCGTTAGGAAAAAAAATTTATATGTAAGTGGTGCCCAAGGTAGCAAGAAACTAGATTCATTAATCTTAAAATATCCAAGGACCACGTTCATCACTCCCAGATCTCATCTTTAGGTTTACAGGGTTTTGTATCAATTTTGTAAAAAAAATGTAAAAAATACCCATGCTGTCAACACAGTTAAACAATGACCACATGTACCCTCACCTCTGTTGGACTTCTTCCCTGCAGTTGTGGCTCTTGCCAGGTTGCAGAAAGATAGAGGTCACATTTAAACTGCTGGCCAACTGTATCAATGTCACCAACAGATATGATGCTAGTTCTAATCTCCACAGTAACCTGATTTGAAAAAAGTGCTTACAATCAAAATTATTTTAGTATGTTTGGGGTAAGGGGAGATAGGTTTGGGGTAAAAGAGGGGTATGTTTGGGGTAAGTGACATGAGTCAAAGAGGTCACGATCTATGCCATGATTTCTTCTAGGGTCAAAATGCGGCAAGAAAAAAAAGCTCAAAATATTATGTAACACGCATTGATGATGTGTTTACTTTGTTTGGTTAACTATGTAAATGATGTAAACAGTGTTCATGTTTTGTTTTTTTTGGTTAGTAATATCATGCTTACCGTACTGTAGATATGTAGTGAGTGCAGCATTAGTAGAGCTGCCTTTTGTTTGAAACTTTAAAAAAAAACAAAAAAACTGGACATTTACAAACTGTATTGTTTTACTTATGTAAACTAAACGATGCAAGTAGTCTTAACTATCATATTATACTGTAAGTAAGTATGGTGCTGTAATTTTACTATTTTCCTCTTTTTTGAGTTTTTCCTATTTAGATTGTGTTTGTAAATTAATAATAATAATAACAACAATAATAATAATAATAATAATAATAAATAAACAATTAAAAAAATGTTGGACTGGGAACAATTTTCCAGAGGCACTCCCTTCTATGGACTTATGCACTTACAAGAGTGCAAAGCTTCAAGAGCTCTCTGGTTAGCCATTTAGTTCAATTCTTGCACGAAACTAGTTTTATCGTAAAATTATTTATTTCTTAAGAAGTCTTGCCTGAAATAGTCTGAGATATAAAGGTACAAATAGGCCATTTCCAAGTTGCCTTTTGCCTGAGTCCTTGAGCTAAACATTTCTTAAGAATTTGAGTTTGATTTGCATGAATATGAAGGTGCAGTTGAAACACATTTTCATATGAATGGTTTTGCATGAAGACATGCTTTGACACAGAGGCAAACATAACACAGAAATAGCCTATTGTAAGGCCAGGTCTGAAATAGGGAAGGGAAGATTGCATGTTTTGATCTGAAATTAGATAAGGGTTTCAAAGGCCCACACAACACACTCCCACTCAAACTTTCAGAGAGTACCCTATCCCAGGCATGAAATGGCGAAATGATGAAATGGCACCACAGTTGGCCTAAAACAGCATTCTGATTGGCCTAAATAGTGCTCCAGTCAGCCTAAATATCACTGACTTGAAGGTGGATAGCTCTAAATATTTGTTTGGGGTAACCGGACCATATCCCATGCTGTTTAAGTGCCATTTCATCATTTGGCCATGTTCTGTTTTAAACACCCAACCCAAACCCTTCTTGAGAGTGAATATCAATTTTGATATAATGCCATTTGGAAAGTTCACATCAATTCTTTTAAAGTGGGAATGGGTATCATGATCAGTATAAGTTAGTGTCAAACCCTGTCAAATTCCCACCAATTAAGCCAGGATTATTATTATTCCTTTTTTTCAACATGTTTTAAATATTCATTTCATTTGAGTGAAGAAGATTAATAGTTTTAACATTTTCTGGTGTTGTTAAAACAGCTGCAGTTGTCAATCAATGCAGCTTTAATTGGTAAATGAACATGCAAAATTTGTTATACAATTCTATGAATTAGTAAACATTTCAGTCTACATTTTAATTGAGAAGAGAAATTGCAGAATTTTTTTTAATGGTAATTTTTAGAAATTGGTAATTAATGATTGACAACTGCACGCTATAAGGTCCCGTGACAGCAAGTTTGATCTCTTGGATAGAAATTGAACTTTTTAAATAGGCCGTTTGCCTCTGGGTCAAAACATGTCTGTGTGCAAAACCATTCATAAGAAAATGTGTCCCACCTTCAGGTTCTGATTTTCATGCAAATTAATCAAACTCATCTTCACATGACAGTATCGCACGTGAACTGTCAGCTCAAGGTAAATGTCCTTTTTTCAGATTATAACTGTAATCTGTTCTCTACTTGAGTGAAGGTCATTATGTCTTCCTTGAGATCTCCTTCTTTACATGGGGTCACATAATATTTAAAAGTTTAATCGAATAAATTCATATAAGTCTGATCTTATACAGAGCTAGCTATGTGAATATTGAATTTAAGCTTTTGCAACTAGGGATAAGCGTAATGGATGGAAAACAGAAAGAAATTACATGCGTAATATGTGGACATTTTACCTCGCGTTTCTTTCTTAGTAAAGCTTTACTCATGCAAAAACAACTTGGAACTTTAGTAAGAAATCTTTTTAACGACGATTTCGAAGCCTACCTTCTCCGTGTTGTTGTGACGGAAATCACACTTGTTGTCTCCGTCGGGATGAGTGTTATCTTCGATTTCCCCCAGAAGTTTCTTAACATCTTCAAGTCCTGACAGAGAAGCTTCGATTCTTTCTAGTCTTGAGAGAACGATAGAAAACCTGTCCTCCATGGGTTCTAAAGACATGATTGACCGTGAACGAATGTTGTCCTGAAGCTACGATCTCCAAGCAACTGGGAGGAGGATTGGACTGAGCGACCATGTAGGTACGTGTTGCGTACTTAGAGGAGAGAGACCTAGCGAGAAGATAAACAAACAAACGCATTGGGCATTGCGTACTTAGGAAGCCAGAAGAGAGACCGAGATTGAAGCTAAACATTCAAACTGCGTCGCAAATAAAGTAAAAATCTGATCTCAACAAGCAAAATGGTAGATCGGAATTCAGTGGTTTTTAGTGGTTTTCAGTGGTTTTAGTGGTTTTTAGTGGTTTTTCAGCTACAAGTAGCTAATTAATTTGAGTTTTTAGTAAGCGTCCGGCTGAAGCTTGTGATTGAACATTCCACGTTGCTTCAGGTTACTTGTAAGAAAGAAACAAAGCCTTGAGATTGTTATTGATTTGTTTATTTATTCATTTATATGATTTATTTTTTACACGTCATTCCTATTTCGATCTAAGAAAACTTAAGAAGTCTTTGTTAAGCTATACACTGAGCTATGAATATTATTTTACCAGTCCGTTTAGCTGGGGCCAGACCAAAGTATTTTTACTTCTTTTTACCTATAGGTTTTAATTGATTGCACTGCGTGAAGTAAAACTAATTCTAAAATTTAACTTAAACTTAAAAAATTATGTACGCAAACTATGTAACTTACCGAGCTCGGATAAAATCGTTTCTCCTCGGCTCCCCCCTCTATTTCCTCCTCTCTATCTCCCCNCCCCCCCGCCCCTCACTCAAAAAAAAGACATAGTATGATTCCAGGATTTTTAAGCGGTTGCCTAGAGCTCGGCAAACGCAAAATTAACCAGTGATAGCGATAGCATAACAAAATTAAGATTAACTACTCCAAGAGTTCTCAGCCTTGCTGTTAATACTGTTCCCATGTAGTAGCGGTTGCAGCTCAGGGGTGAGACTGTTAAGACTCTGTTCCTGAGAAGGCGCTCGGGACGGAGGTCTGTGTTCAGTTCCCGACATCACTGTACAACAATCTTGTGTGTTGTGTGGAATAGCA